CAGACCATTTCAATGGGTTAAACTTCAATGATGATGGTTATGGTGTCTGGCGTGGCCAAATGAATTGTAGGTGTTGAAGACGTCATAGAGTGCTAAGAGAGTAACTGTGAGCGTGATGACTGAAGGGAGCAGGAGAGGAGCAACGAGGACTGCGGAGAGTCGCAGAAAGGAGAGGGCGAGAAAACTGTGAGAGTAAAGTGAGAATGATGAACTTATGTTAGGATTTTTAATTTTTCTCACAGGTTTGGATCAATTTTTTCAGTCACTCCCTACCCATGGACTAAATGTCAAACCAAATTATTTTCAATCCGCTTCAATTCGGACCAAACACCTAGATGTAGTTCAATTTTTCGGTCTGAAATAGAATTTGCACACCCTTAGGATGAGGTTGAGTGATCAGGCTATGTTGGATACTACGAATAAGAGCAAAGAGCATGGATTTTTTGGGTTTAGAAATTCAGAGAATTCCTTCATTTACTGGATTGATAAGATGAAGGGTTACAAGGTTGTGCCATGAAAAGAGTTTGCTCTGCTCTGGTACTCTGTTCTGAAACCGTTTGTTCATGATTTGGGGTTAAATGAATTGGCAATTCCCGGGGAAGAAGAAGAAGTTTATGGTGTATGGTATGGCTCTTACAATGCTGGATTGGCCCATGCATGTATATATGCAATATGCAACGATAATTATATAGTCTCAATTAATAATGTATTTAATATTTTGTTAAGAATTTTGATAAATCCAATTCGTTATATCTATAATAGATTTTTTCAGGGATAAACAGAAAAGATTTATTAGCATGATACACGATATGACTCAAGATCTTGAGGAACTGCTTCTACAGATATAGTAAATCATACATTCAACTCGCTCAAAGCAAACTCTGCTAAATCTATGTAATTTTCTACTAAATCGGTTTATTATAATTTTATTTAAAATATATTTAGCATACAATGAGGATGATAATTGGGGCATTTTCCCAGAAAGCACAACATTCTGATTTCTGGGCATAACTCAAATTGACAATAACACAGTTTCTTTCTGTGGTTCTTAAAGCATCTACTTCTATTTTTATTTGTATCACATGTTTATTTAATTTAACATAATCAAACTCCAAAAACAGACAACCCAGTTTTCTACAAACATGGCCAAATAAGCTTACAGCAAACTTCTTCATCGTCTTCTTCCTGTTCTTCCTTGAGATGGGTACTCACTGAGCTTCTCAAATCATGGAAACCTCTCTGTTCATCTCCAAATTTTTATTCCAGAAGCCAACAACAAATCAACATTAACACCAAGAACAAACAGTTGAAGAGCAACGCTAAGGCACAATCTTGTAACCTTTCATCTTATCAATCCAAGAAATGAATGAATTCTTGGAATTCCTAAACCCCAAAAATCCATGTTCCTTGCTCTTGTTCATACAACCCAACACACCTTCCATACCAAAAATGACATCCACGAACCACCAAACTGCAACTTCTTCATACTTACTGGGATACAATTGATTCTCCCTCACAATCTCATCCCATACAGAACCCTTGTCCTTCATCGCTTCCTCGAGCTTAAAGCTCTTTCCTTCGTTGAATCCGTACTCCTCGATCCCAAACTGCTCTGCCAGCACCTTCCAGAAATGCTTCCACTTGAAAACGTCGCCGTTGCTACAGTTGAAAGCCTCGTTCTTCGCGTACGGATCCACCGCCGCCCATATCTGCTGCTCGGCGATGAGGTCTGCGTCGGATACGGTGGAGTAGGAATCCCACGAGGCTTTGCTGCCGGGGAAAATTAGTGGGGATCCTTCGTGCTTGCAAATGGCGGCGTACACGCAGAGAATGCCGACCATGTTCATCATACAGTAAGGAGAGAAGCCGAAGATTACTAGCGGGCGGTGGATTGACCATGTCAAGTTTTCCTTTTTCTCAACCTCCTCGAACAGAATATCTTCTTGGGTGTAGTAGAAATTCGGTGTGTCCAATCTGGGCATGTCCTCCGTGAAGGGCGGATCGTGGAACTGGATCTTGCCTAAGGTCTCAAAAGGGCCAACATAGTGCTTGGCTCCGGTCTGGAGGCAGATGTGCGAGAGGTTGGGCGAGTTGGGGATCACGACTTGCAGGACGTTTCGGAGCATGGCGCCGTTGACCTCGCAGTTCTCCCGCTCCGTCGATCGATTACTCCACGCGACGTAGAAGATATGGGTTATATCAGTGATAGGGGAGAGTTTAGCCCGGGTCTCCTCCATGTCAGACACGTCGCACTGGATATATTCGATCGGGTGATCGGCGTTCCAAGTGGGTCTCGGACGACGTGCGACGCCGTAGACTTTCCACGGGCCGCCGGGAGTGTCGGAGAGCGGCAGAATTTCGGCGAGGCTGTTGCCGACGATGCCGGTAACACCCACGACCAGCGCGACGCTTTGAAAGCTGCGCGGAGCGTCATCTTCCTCGAACTTCTTCTGCAAGATCCAGGAAGAAAAATTGAGAAACAGAGATGCTTAATTGTAGGAATAAAGGAAAGAAAAAGGAAAAGAAGGAATTTGCCTTGGCAGCGCCAATAGCACCAGCCCACCACCAGCTCATATTTGATTTGGTTGATTGATTGGTTGAAGGGGCAAAAATGGAGAAACAGAGTTTATATGAGGTGGGGTTCTGTTGCATAAAATCAAAATGGTTGGGCTTGCCGCTTGAGTTTCAGGGTAAGGATAGTGACAGGGACATGAGATTGAATGATATAAGCTTATATGTAAGGGGCTCTGTCCAGATCCGCAAACAGAAATGGATAAGTCTGATTCTTAATTTGGATAATAAAAATTTAAATTGAATTTCTGATCTATCTAAAACAAGGTTATCTAATCATTACATTATTATTATTATTTTTTTTTTCCGAAAAATTTAACGAAACTCACTTAAATTTTGCTCTTTTTTCACAAAAAAATTAATAAATTTACCTAAATTTAATCCAATTTAACACATACAGTCTTACATATATGATAATGTAAGCAATAAAATATTTGTAATAATAATATTATTTTTCATTTAAAATAACGGTTTATCTTTTATAATTAGCATTTTATCTATTTTCATTACTGTTCCTCTAGTATTTTTAGCGTACATATATATGTAATATTTCATTTAATTCCGAATACCTTGATCAAGTTTTTATTACGTCAAATATTGTTGTAATAATGTTTGATATTGGTTTAAATGGAGGCTAATTAAGCTTCCATCAATAATTTATAAATGAAGCCCTAGATTAGTCTATGGGCCTGGGTTTTGCCTGTAAAAATAAAAGCTTGCGTCTACTTTCTACCTAGCCCATCTCCATTTTCATTATTTATTCTCACGATATAATTTGTATTTTGTATCATTTGGAATTCTTCCTAATATTTTATAAACTTTTTTCATTACTTTCTTTTTATTAAATAAAATTGACAGGAAAAAACATTCATCAAATTTGAAATCAAATCACCAACCATTTATTTATTTTTTTTCTGAAGATATATATATATATATATATATATATGTCTATAGCAAAGCCAAACCAGAGTTTCATGGAAGAGATTAAGCGATCCATATCAAGTGTAATTCAAATTCTGACTTGTACAGAACACGTTTAAAACATATATTAATGACCGCTAAGATCAAAACATAAATTTCTTTCTCCTCCTTGCGCTTTCCACCTCGCTCTTGCTTCTGTCTTCCGCAACCAAAGGTTCTTCAATAATGGTTGACAGACCTGCAAAAGTTAATTGCCACCCAAAAGTCATTGACATATATATTTTTCTTCTGTGGTATATATGTTTGTATGTATATATCTGTATATGCATATACATAGCACCCGAAAAGGTTCTACTTTAAACCTTGGCATACCGTCTACATGTAAAAGAAATCACTTTAAGTTGTACTATGAATCATACGTACATATATATGTATTGTATTGTATGATATGGTCAACAGGTCAAGTTCATGGTGTATTTAATTAATTACCAGGTAAGAGGCTTTCCTTCTCTACCATCATCTTCATGATCAATTCATCATCGTAGTACAGCTTATCACTACGGAGCTCACAGTCGTCATCGTCGTCGTCGTCGTCATCGTCGTCATCGTCATCTTCATCATCATCACCGCCGTCTGATTCTTTCACTTTCACCGGTTGACATGCTAAAGTCATTGACCGAGGTTCGGCAAAGAGCCACGTGGCTTCCATCTGTTTGCTGATCATCCTTGCTGCATGATACGGGATCTTCAAACGCTTTGTTTCCCCCGACTTGATGCAGCCATTGACGAACATTATGCAGTCCATCAAGCTCTCTCTTGCCAACCCTTTCATGTCGTAAGCCTGAGACCGTCTCCACAGGCTTTTTCCGTGAGAGTTTACGGGATTCGACAAACAAAGAGCTCGAGTCGAGTCTCTAATGGCGGAATCTGGGTCTCTGAGCAGCAAATAACACTCAGCACGATTGCTGAAAAGCACCATTCTTTCTTTTCTGAGCTTCAATGGGCAAACCTCTAGTGCTTCTGTGTAGCTCAAGATAGCTTCTTCTACATCTCCTACCCAAAACAGTTGATTCCCTTGTTGTTTTATCAAATCCATTACAACTTTTCTCTCTGCAACTTTCTCCTCCGACATGGTCTTCTCTTTCTTTCTCCTCTCCACTTTTATCTCCCATATTTCTTGTAGCGCCTTCTGAAATTTTCTGTTCTCAACTTTTCCTAATTGCTTGTAATCTAAGAGGATTGCTCTTGTAATGTCTTCCCCTAGGTTTGATCTATCACCAAGTGTTTTAAGCTCAACCAAATCGATGAGAAACATGGTGGAAATCTCAACAACATGGTACCTCGCATCCG